TTTTCCAGGGCATGAATGAGAAATTAGGTCTGTAATATGGTTGTACTGTGCTGAGTAACTCTGTTCTGCTCAAAAACTCTCTGTTGAAGGGTGAAAATGGTCAGGTGCATTCTTAAGTGGTACTAGATTGTAAGCTACCCTCTCTGGAGACAAAGTTATGTCTTTCTTTCTTTTTTTCCTTAAATGTTTATTATAATTTGAGTGACGTTACAGAGCAAATTGGTTTCCATTCCACCATTCATACACATTTTGTTTCATGATGTTAATTGCAATCTCCACAGTGTAACAGCACTCTTCCCACTTCCACCCTGTGTTTACCATTTCCATCTGTCCTTCTAGCCCTACCTGCCTTCTGACCTTTGTCCCTGGACAAATGCTGCTTTTTAATCTATGGTTGCTCTAAGTAGTGCATATCTCCCTGGTGTTATTTTTCACCTTATAGGCCTGTCTGTCATTTGGGTGAAAGTTGGACCACGGGGATAAGTTCAATTCCAGGTTTGAAGGGTGTCCAAGGGCCATAGTCTTGGGGATTCCACCGATCTCTATCAGAAATGAAATGAAGAGTGAGGAAGATACGTTTTGGAGTGAAAACATCTAAACTTTGTGACTTTGGATTGAAAGTTAAGGAGGTGACTTAATTTTTCTATCTTGGTAAGCTAGGTAAGCCAGAGGAGTTGTGGGATGACATCATGAACATCATCCATAAAGAAAGCAAAAGGTCATTAAAAAGACAGGAGAGGAAGAAAGACCAAAATGGATGTCAGAAGAGACTCTGAAACTTGCCCTTGAATGGAGAGTAGATAAAAGCAAATGGAAAAATCAACCTGATTTTTTCTTTATGATTTTGAGTTTTGTTCTACGTTTTGCCCCCACTCTATCCAAGACCTTGTATTGTGATCCCTTTCAGTGCAGTAAATAGTGATAGCCAGAAACCATCTAGTTGTTCTTGTCTCAGGGTCAAGGAAGCTGGGGTTCACATGGTCCATTAATTCTTTGGGCTAATTGTTTCCTTGCATTTTTTATTTTCTTCACTCTTCTTTGCTCTGGATGGGGAGAGATCAATAGTTGACCCTTAGATGGCTGCTCACAAGATTTTAAGACCCAGAACATTGTCTTTGTG